CTTAGTCACCAGACACTGTAGTACAATGAAGGTACTGAATTTTGTCCTTTATTGATTGGTTATGGAAAATTAGGCCAGACCAATCCATTTGATCTGTCACAAATTCCACATAATGGCAATGATGACAAGAGATCAAACTGTGTGAAAATAAATCAGCAACATTTATCAGTGCTATCGATCTCTCCGCATGGTCAGGAGCATAAACAAGGTCACTGTGACATCAAAAACTTTATTACAGGCTCTGATGATATTCTCATGCAACTACTGCATGATTACTGAAGTGATGCAAGAAAATCAGTTGCATTCAAAATATCAAGCAGCGTGTGTTTTAGTAAGTCTGATTGTGTTGGTTTATGGGTATACAGTGGGGAAAAAAAGTATTTAGTCAGCCACCAATTGTGCAAGTTCTCCCACTTAAAAAGATGAGAGAGGCCTGTAATTTTCATCATAGGTATACCTCAACTATGAGAGACAAAATGAGAAAAAAAAATCCAGAAAATCACATTGTAGGATTTTTAAAGAATTTATTTGCAAATTATGGTGGAAAATAAGTATTTGGTCAATAACAAAATTTCATCTCAATACTTTGTTATATACACTTTGTTGGCAATGACAGAGGTCAGGCTGACTAAATACTTTTTTGCCCCACTGTAAGGGTTCCTTTAGTAGTGAGAGGGTGTGTGTGCGCAGGCACACATTACTAAACTGTTTAAAGCTCATTACAACTTAAAGAGCCCATGACCAAAGAAGCCATTTGTAATACTTATACTTGGCTAAACAATGGACTGCTTAATTGACTCCATAATCTTTTAAAGCTGAGCCAAAAAAAAATCTTCATTTTCAACATCAAGGACAAGATTAATGAAAATCTCTACCACGTCTAGGCATAAAAGAATGTTTATTTGTCTGCCGTTACTATTTGGCAGAATGTCAATTCAATTTGACTGCAAATTCGAGTTGATGTTGTGGAGAAATGTCTAGAAATCTAAGATCTAACATGGATTTAGTTCATTAATAACACCAACAGTACTAATAATCCATAATAATAAAGTGTTTGAGTAAATGGGAATTACCAAACAGATGTATTTGCACTATGATTAGTATCACAGTCGGTTAATACACCAATTTACAGTAAAGTCCAACAGTCTATGAGCTTCGTGTCTGGATAAACTCAGATGGAACAATGAAAAATCCCTCACCAAAGAATGAGAAAATCCTGCTAAATTCTTAAAGGTAAAGCAGCTATGAGAAACAAGTGAACATCTCTTGGCTTTTATCTCTCTTCCCACTTTCCCGGCTCTATGAGAACTTTCACCCAGAGGAACATCATTCCATTATGCAGTTACGCTCGTGGACGCGGCCTTTCTGCTTTCCGGAGCTGGAGGAGGTGAGCAGTGGTTTGCTTCACTCACTTTCCAATGCATGTATTAAACTCCCAAATGTCAGAGATAGCCACTGTCTTTTATATCTGTTTTAGCTCAGTTTCAAGACACTGAGCAAGGAGATTTTAATCTCAGGCCTCATGCACTAACTATAGCTACTGAAGAAATGGGAGTTTTTCCAACAGAACGAGTCCTTCAGAATGGAAGAGGATTTCTCTATGCTGCCAGCGTCATTAACACAGTTCATAAAACACACACCATAGTGGGTGAGATTTATATATGGAAAGACAACTTAACACCATCTATCTGAATATGATATAATGTAATATTGTTTCAGTTCTATTGCACCAAATTTGTGACTCCTAATGATGGAAGTATTCAGTTTGGATAACAGTCAGCAAAAAGGCAATGAATAGAAGTTAAATGATATTTAATATTTATAAGATGCAAGTATGTAAATGCTTCAAACTGTGTAGAATCTGAAACAAACTATAAAAGAGTAACAACATTGTTTTTCTGATAAAGTAGAAATGTCCTGCTTTCTCATTTTGAAGGCCATTTCCTATTAATGAACTTTCGCTATCTCTAGTGTGGACGCATCTCACATTATTTCCTGAATAATTGCTTGCTGGAGTTCCAGCAAAAGATAAGGTGGGACAAAGGAAGTGAAATTTATGCCGTTTGAAATTAAACTGTTTGCTTAAACTCTTTGTCTGAACCGCGCAAGCTATTAATGAAATGAAGGCAGTGGCACTGAACTCCACTGAATCCATTACTGCAGCATCAGCTGCTGTTAATTCCACTGCTGAATATTTCTAATTAAAGACTAAGAAAAGATACTGCTCATCTTCGTTAAGGGACTTAGAAATGTGATTTAATGGAGGTCAGATATATTAGAGACAAGGATAGCTTTATTTGCAACTGCTGTCAGTCTTGCTTTTCTGTCTGTCCCTGTTTCCCTCTGACGCTTCTTTCTTTCTGTGTCTCTTGCTCATTCACGCTCGGTTGAGCTTAGCGCTGTAGAAATGAGAGGGCCAGACGCTTTGGTTTTGGATCAGTGGCGTTTGATCCCTCTCCTCTATGCTGGGACGCTGTCTTACGCCACACTGATTGACATTGTGTAGTTGTACTGTGACCTGTGGGGTGTAGGAGCACAGTCGCCATCACTCTCTCTCTGTCTCACAAAGCTTGACACGCATGTTTGGATTTATAAATACACACTCAGATAGGGCAGAGCAATGTAGCTGAAGTGTAAACACTGTGGCTCTGTGGTGTTATCAGACATTGCTCTTGTTTGTTTGAGCATCCAGACGCTGCAACACTGACTCAACCAATGGTGTATGTAAGGTCTCTGTCTTGTGGAACAGGCCCCCATAAGCTGTGGATTCACCACGTGAATTATGAAACAGAAATATTACAGAAGGATCTAAAGATCTCCCCCTTATCAGCCATCATGAGGTATCTATACCAATCACCCCCAGCACATGACTCCAATATTCTGGGTCGACTTCCTACCGGTCTTGTCGTCATCCACTCAGAGGAGTGATTAAAGATTAATCCAATCAGGAGACAACAAAGCGTTTTTGTATCAGGACTGAAAAGGTTCGTTCACAACATATAGAAATTAATATAGAAGTTAATTGCTGAACATTTATTTAATTGAGTTACTTTTGTTTAAACAATTAAACAGTTTTTTACTAGTTTCAGCCCGACGCAGTTGTCATTTTCACGTCCTGCGACAACTGAATTAGACTGCGCCATTGACCAACAAAAACCTGGTCTAAAGTATAGATAAGTACAGATAAAGTATATAGCAATATTTTTTTAAATGTTTATTTAAAGAGCGTTAGTAATATGCGCCTATAGGTGGGTGACCAACGCGCGCAGGAATGCGCAGCAGCACACAAACATTTTTTTTATGAAAAATTAAAGGATTCAAATGTAAAAGATTATTATTGTGTAGGCTACATTAATATAAGAATGCCTACATGTCATAAAGAATAGTCATTGCATGTATTTAGATCCATTTCCTCTCTAGAGACGCGTTGTACTTGCTTGCGAATTCCGGCATGTAAATAGCAAATTTGCCATGGCGCGAGCGCAACTGGCTCTTAAAGGGAATGGGAGATGAGACTCTGATTGGTTTATTGCGCGCTATGCCCAAAACACACCCATTACTCATTAAGAGAATAGAGACAACCCTTTTAGACCATGCGCCGGGCGAGCAGACCGCTTTTCCCATCGTTAAACTAGCAAAAGTGGATTTGGACACGCCCTAAGTGCACCTGCGCCAGGTGATAGGGCCCAAAATGTGTGTGTGTGTACATATTCACAAGGCACTAAGAAAAGAATGAATTATAAAAGTACTCAAATCACACAGTCTTTAGGAAACTTAATGGCCAAATTAAAATAATGTATTAGCACACAACACACTGTTTTTGTATAGATTTAAAGACAAGTAGAAAGGGGTGAGAGATGTGTGATTATGATGAATAGCATCATAATATGACAACCACTGTCCAGCAGCACGAGTATCATTTCTGTAAGTCAGAGTTGAAATGTGTTGCCAGCTCTGCAAATAGATGCTTTTCTCTGCAAGTGCCCCAGATGGCAGCGCCATCAATGAGGACACTCAAGGGTTGTTCCCTAGAAGCCTGCAAGTGTCTGTTTTCATGAAAGCCACTTTTTCCCAGACACAGCAGAAAGTGCACGTATTGTCCTGCCCTGTTCAAAACACTCTTTGTGTCGACAGTCAAGGTACGGTCGTCTGAGATTTGAAGATAAAGGAGTCTGATGTGGGAAAGGGGTTTGACTGTTACGCCATCAGGAGTGACTGTGGAGTTACTTTTCCCTTTTGTCTCCTGAAGTCAACATTTCCTGTGCAATTTACTTTGCAGCCACAAACATCAAAGTATAGCTTTGTCCTCAAACATACTGTATATAATTTTGAGTGATTGTTATTTTTAATATTGTGCATTGTATCAAGACAGCAGACAAGCTTTGATGTGTCTCTGCTAAATCGCCTATTATAGACAGCTAGCACTTCTTCAGCTGTGACGTGTGTTCATGTTTAAGGGGTTGTGAGGAGATTACTAATGAGCAGGAGATCCCTGTAAACTTCATTAGGATGACTTTGACACGCTTGAACATGTCACAGTTGCTCTAGGGTGATCATTACCATCAATCTCCATAAGGGAGGGGGGGGAAATCACATGACCTTAAACTCCTCACATTTAATTATACTTACACACACTCACAGGACATATTTATTAGCTGTATTTGAAAACATTCTAATATCAAGTTAGAAGAACCATATGGGGCTCATACAATTTTATATAGTCATGTGAATCCCTGATCTGTGCTTAAACACACACTGCTGCCAATAACTTATAATTGAGTGTTAATTTCAGTATCTGTGCATGATAATTAATTACCATACTCACATATTCATTAACTTATGTGGTGAAAAAAACATAATTAATATCACAATTATATGCATCCATCATGATAATAAAATGGTAGTAAAAGGGGAAAGTGAGTATTCTTTATAAAACTCTATTATTTATTTATTTTTAGTGATAATGAAGAACTGTACAAGGATTTAGTAAAGACACTCACCTTTTTCTTATTGGTGGGACAGATGTAGAAGTTTGTGACTATGATGGTTGTCCCAGGCATCAAGTTGAGCTTGGTGTAGGTTGACCCATAATCACTGGATCTGCATGGAGGAAGGGAGCAAAAAAAGAGAGAAAGGTCATCTTCCTGATATTATCACTCTGTTTAATTACGGAGTCACACACATATCCATCTGGAGAGCATCCTCAGATTATTAGATTTAGAGCTGAGAGGCAACAAAAACTTATAACCCACTGTGTATAGTCGTGTATATTTCTGACAGAATATTTTTTGTAAAATAAATAGACTTTTTTTTTCAACTAATCATTACACTGGAGATAGACACTGTTTGTACACATACTCATGTCTTTTCAACCCCAAATCTCTGTTAAGTTGTCATAAACATGACACTGGGCTTTGAAATATTCACACAAAATAAACACAAATTTTCAGAATGACTGTTTTTTGGCCTCTGATTGCTAGTGATCTCATGAGCATGTTGACTGTTTTTGGACTGAACTGGAGTCACCAAATAATGTAACTTTTTAACTCTCTTTTTAACGCTGCACTGGAAAGGCTGCTAGTGTAGTTCTGAAAATTACAAACTTGCTTCAAAACATCAGTTTTTGAGCAGTCGTTCTGAAATGTTTATGCTATTGTGTTTTTGCAGAATGTAACAAACCAAGGCTATGTTTACACGACTGCAGATACACATAGATATTTTTTCTCTGCATTTTAGCCTTCTCTCCATACAGAAATGGCATTTTTGTCCTTGTGAAAACAAGGTTTTTGAAGTCACGCTCTCCCAAGTGGATAATTTGAAAATGCTGTTTTACATTGTAGTGTGGACTCTGAAAATGGAGGCAGGGCTCCAAACAAAAAAATCGAGCGAGTAAGGAGCCATTGGCTCCTATAAGAAAAAATTTTAAGCGCCAAATTATTTTTTTAGGTGCCACAGAATAAAACGTGTTTTATTTATTTATTTTTATTTTTTTACATTTCAATCATACTTTCATGTGTTTATGTCTCATCTTTTCTTGAATTTATCAGCATTTGAATCAATCTTGTAGATGACCTGGGAACTAAAGTTCACTTAAAGTGGGTACTAAATGTCTTTTCCAACTTGAAATATATAGTCACAAAGAATTGTTCATGACACAGAATCTGTGCAAATATCATGGAACATAACAAGCATCACTTGGCCACTAGTTTGGGCTCCTCCTCAATGCATCCTATAAGTGTTGTCATATGTCTTTCACACATTCAGTCTGTTTTTCTTCATTAGTAAAATGCAATTTTATAGGAGGAGCTGAATCATGTAGACAACAGGTTAAATAACAATTTTAACATCCAATAGCGCATAAATATTGCAAAATGCTCCTCTTTATAGTTATTTTTCTAGCTGACTGATGAGATTATGGTTTACCACCGAATGGTTATTCTGAGGTAAATGTATTACATTGCAATGTTTACAAGCTTTACACGTTTTTCGCAGTTTAAAACACTGAATGAGCTTTTACATGAGACATTTCAGTAAGTTGTACTGAAGGCTTTCTTATAAAATAGGCTACGTTTTGCTGTTAATTCATGTTCATTATATACTATAGTAGTAAAGAGAAAGATATAATAATGGGTTCACTTGCCGCTTGAACTGAGGCGCTAAAGCGATCGCGCCTGCTGCATTAAAGAGCGCCAAAACTGTATTTATTGTTTGAATTTCATTATGAATTTGGGCATAATTTTAAAGCTGATACTTTGTTTATTAAAAAGCAACAAAGCTTTTTGCAATTAATGGACGGCAAGTGTGCTTCAAATAATATGAAGTTTACACATTAACAGAACACAGCATATAGACTAAGATCTTGATAAGAAGAAGCCATATTAGTAATGATTATAAACAAGAATTGTTAACGATATTGCCAGTATCCACACAGCTAACAGCTTGACCTGTTGTAGTTTGTTCAAGTTGTGCATGAAATAGACTCTGCTTTTGTGCACATTTACTTGCACCTCTCCGTCATTTCGATCTCTCTCGCGCTGTACAACTAAGCTGCGTTTAGCAGGTGTGCGACATTGCTGCTGTGCGGCAGAGACGAGGACTGCTTGAAACAAATTTTTCCACTAAAACTTTGATGCGCATCGTCTCAGTTTAATACGTGAACACAGCAAATGATGCGATCGCAAAACAATCCGGAAAAAAGGCATTGCATGCAAATTTTTAAGTCATAACATGTAAATATATATAGTCGCCATTGGCGACCTCAGCAAAAACTTCAAAATTAATATTTTTGGTCGCAAATGCGACCATTTTAGTCGCAGTCTGGAGTCCTGGGAGGTATCTAAAACCAATGACGCATGTAATGCATATTGTACCTATAGATATCTATGTTTTTACCATTATGTGCCCGTTATGTGCTATTCACTTCCACAGCGTTACTTTGTACAATATTCATATTACATTCCTGCAAAGATGGCAAACAATTTATTCGCAGTTGTTGTTTTGCGGCAAAACATGAGGGAAATTGACCCTTCGCAAAAACCCACCCTCCTTAGTTCCTGTTGCTATGTCCGACAAACAATGCCAATCTCACACTACACATCATGTTCTCACACGATAAAAAATACACCGTGGAGCAAAGAGGAAACTGACAACACGCCGACAGACAAGACAGAGCAGGTTACTTCTGGTATGAAACAAGGTCTCAGCTTTCACATTTTTAAAAAAGAAATTCAAACAATAAATACCGTTTTGTGACTCTTTAATGTGTTGTGCAGATCACTGTTGCGCCTCAGTTCAAATGGCATGTGAACCGATCGTCTTTTCATATTTTCTTAAAGCACGAAATAAACATGAATGAACATCAGAACGTATTTTATTTCAACCACAGAAAGACATCAATACACACAATTTTTCAAGTTTAAGTCCACCAAAGTTCATCTCTCCTGTCTAATTTGTTTGTCGGGCAAGATGGAGGATTCGGCGTATGATCGCATGTCAATCAAGCTCTTTGCGAACGGTCAATTGAGTTTTAGAATATACATGTAATGAGGTTGAGTGCGACCTGAACGCACCAGTAAGTGGTGATATTTTGCTAATAAAATGATCCTGCCAGAAGAATAGCATGATAAATTCATTATGTCTGGTCTCTCTGTATCATCTCTGTCAGCTTTTATTACATACGCATGTGCTATAAGACACTTTTACGTTTTCTGATGTTTTGGTGTGGATGAGAAACTTTTGCAAGACACTTTAAAATGCTAGTAGTATGGACAGAGAGCAATCTGAAATGAAAATGCTGTTTTAAATGTACCTGGATTACTGTAGACATAGCCTAAATGACTGCTATAACAAAAATGTTCAATTTGATCCTGACCATAACGGCATGTTAAAAGCGTGACTCTGACTCTGGTGAGGTCAGCGTCAAATCAGTTTTAAAGATGACGATGTTTCAAGTGTGGCAGCTAATGTGACGTCAACTAGCCAGAGATTGATGTCAGCTCAAGGAGAAGCTATTTGAACTGCTGTAGATATAAGACATGACAAGGCAGCATCACAGGTGTGGAAATATTTGCAAAAATCAACCAGGCGGACAGCTGTGGCCTAAACCAGTCTGACACTGTCAGAACCAATCATTATCACGCAACACAGTTACATGAAATGCGCTTAAGAACAAGGTCACAGGGTTACGTTTAAAGTGACTATGTCAGTTTCTTTCACCTCACTGTTAACATACTGTGAACCCTCAGTTAGGTTGAGAGAAAGCATACTGCTGCTGGCAGCCGATATAGTGTGCAAAATGCCTGATCAAAGACTATTCCTCAACACAAACATACAGCGCTAAAGACTTCCCCCATAGAACTAATTAAAAAATAGAAGTGAACAGAACTCTTCTCTGGAGCTCCTGCTGAGCTCACATTTTTGTTTCTTACTTGACAGAACGGAGCAGAACAGAGGTGTTTCAGCTCGAGAGGTTTAAATGAAAGCGGGAGGGAAGGCTGGGCAGGGTGGGGGAAGTGGGCTACCGCTGATCATTATGCCAGGCATCATGTTTCCAACATCAAAGCGAGGTATCATTGCAGGATGAGGAAGTAGAGGAGGGTCTGAGGAACAGCATCCTACAAACAGCCTTTTAAATTTAAACATGATGATAGGGAACATGACGGATTGTGCTTTTCAAAGTAGAAATTTGATATCAAATACTTTAAATTGAAATGTCTTTTTTTAAAATGCTTTTTAACCCACCCATAATCAGTATATAATAAAAGGAAGAAAAAAATAACAAAATAAAATAAAAATACTGCCATGTCGTAATTTTACATAGTGTTACCGCTTGTGCTTGTTATCAAACTTGTCCTATCCTAAAATTAATACAGTTTCCAGTATCACTCTAAAATAAGATGGTATAATCACAAGAAAGGCAGCGTTTTATTATTACTGTTCAAAATTTGCTTCATTATTACCAAAACATCCTCACCTTGGCTACATTTAATTAACAAAAATACCAAACAATAATACCAAAAAGCCATGATTATTTTTAAATCATAATTGGATTCCTAATACATGCCATTCATTAAGATGAGTCGAGTCTGTTAATTAGAATACTCAATCAGACAATGATGGCGTTCAGCGTCTCAAAGTGGAGTCAAACTCGGCAGAGGTCATCAGCGGAGTTGGTGGAGCGAGCGTCAGAAACAGCCAACTCATTAAGTAAATCCTCTTGTGGAGAGTGAAATGTCAGAGGCCTCAGAGGAACATTATGTAACTAATAAAGCTAAATTGGAGGATTGTGTGGCACGCTGCACTTCGGTTGCCAAACGTTTCGCTAATGATGCTAACTTAATCGGATGGCTCATTTAATGCCACTGATTAGCTGACAGGACTAATGCCGCTGGTGAAGGAGGAGTGTGGATAATAGAGAAACATTCAAAAGGGACAATACTTCAAAACTTCAAATCTAATTGATATCCAATCAATGATTTTGGCTTTCCATGATAAAGTATTCATACAAAATGTTTCAAAAGTTTGGTCTAATAATTTTTTTAATGTTTTTAAAAGAAGTCTCTTATGCTCACCAAAGCTATTGTGAAATATTATTACAATGA